CTCTCTCTCTCTCTCTCGGTCTCTCACACTCACTCTCTCTCTGTCTCTGTATCTCTCACTCTCTCTCTCTCTGTCTCTCTCTCGGTATCTCGGTCTCTCACTCTCTCTCTCGGTCTCTCACACACACTCTCTCTCTGTCTCTCACTCTCTCTCTCGGTATCTCGGTCTCTCACACGCACTCTCTCTCTTTCGGTCTCTCACACTCTCTCTCGCTGTCCCTGTGTCTCTCACTCACACTCTCTCTGTCTCTGTGTCTCTCACACTCTCTCTGTCTCTCTCTCTCTCTCTCACACACACACACACACACACACACACACACACACACACACACACACACACACTCTGTCTGATTCTCTGTCTCTCACACTCTCTCTCTATCTCACACTCTCTCTCTCCCTGTGTGTCTCTGTTTCTCTCTCTCTGTCTCTCTCTCTCTGTCCATGTCTCTCTTGTCTCTCTCTCTGTCTCGCGGTTGCCGATGCGAGGTGGGGGTTAGCATCCCACCATGTGAGGCCTGTATCTCACTGGGGAGGTGAACTGGGAAGAGATGCTGGTGATCATTGAAATTTGCGAGTGAGCTGTCAACAAAAGCAAAGTGGCAGAAGGTGCGTGAGTTCGGTGGGAGTCCTTGTGGGCCTTCCGACATGAGAATTAAGAGCAGGAGTGGGCCATTCGGCCCCGTTTGTCCTCCTGCACCATTTGATGCCATCACGTCTCTGCCTAAATTCCACTCTTTTGTCCTGCCTGTCCTCTTTCTCTCGATACCTATTGCGACCCCCTTCAGTTTCACTCTGGGGGCAGTGAATTCCAGTCAGGTTCACCACCCTTGGAGAGAACTGATCCCTTAAATCTTGCCACCCCTCATCCTAAAACAAAACAGTTTTGAGATTTCTCGGCAAGGGTCGAGTTGTGAATTCTGGGCAGACCAGAAACAGGAACATTAAATCGCTGGAGAAACTCGGTGGGTCCAGCAGCATCAGAGGAGAGAGAAAGCAGAGCTAATGTTTCGGGTCCCTTCCCCAGAACTGATCAGTCTTGTGTTGCCATCACTGGCTAGTCCAGCGTTTGTTGTTCCATCCCTAATTGCCCCAGAGAAGCTGCTGCTTTGAACCACTCCTTGAGGAGTAGGGACTCCCACAGTGTCCCTGAGGGAGGGAGTTCCAGGATTTTGACCCAGTGTCCCTGAAGGGAAGGCGATGTATTTCCAAGTCAGGATGGTGAGTGACTTGAGGGATGGTGTTCCCACGTATCTGCTGCCCTTGTCCTTCTGGATGGAAGTGGTCGTGGGTTTGAAAGGTGCTGCCTGAGGATCCTGGGTGTGTTGCAGCTTGTAGAGAGCACTGGAGAAACTCAGCAGGTCTGGCAGCATCTGTGCAGATACAAACAGAGTTGATGTTTTGAGTCCGGTGACCCACCATCCGCCTGTTCATCATGCCTGGCAAAGGGTCACTGAAATCAAAATGTTAAAACTGTTTGCTTTTCACCTTTGGCAGATGCTGCCGGGCCCCCTGAGCTTCTCCAGCACTTTCTGTCCTTGTCCCTGATCTCCAGCATCTGCTGTACTTGGTTTCTCGTCTTGTAGGTAGCACACAGTGCTGCCACTGTGCCTCTGTGTTGGCGAGGATGCCACTCTGTCCTGGATGGTGCTGAGCCCCTTCAGTATTGCTGCCATCCCAGCCATCCATTACACACGCCTGACTTGTGGCTTGTAGCTGGAGGACAGCTGTTGCATTTTGGAAAGGCAAATCAGGGCAGGACTTATACACCTAATGGGAAGGTCCTGGGGAGTGTTGCTGAACAAAGAGACCTTTTGGAGTGCAGGTTCATAGTTTCTTGAAAGTGGAGACAGGTAGACAGGGCGGTGAAGAAGGTGTTTGGTACGCTTATCTTTATTGGCCAGTGCATTGAGTGTAGGAGTTGGGAGGGTCATGTTGTGGCTGTATAGAACATTGGTGAGGCCACCTGAGGAGCACTGCATTCGTAGAGTCCAACTCATCCATTTCGACCAGGTTTTCCAAACTAAACTAGTCCCATTTGCCCATATCCCTCTAAACCTTCCCTATCCATGTACCTGCCCAAATGCCTTTTAAATGTTGTGACTGTACCTGCCTCTATCATTTCCTGTGGCGGCTTGCTCCATACACAGACCACCCTCTGCGTGAAAAGGTTGCCCCTCAGATCCCTTTTTAATCTTTTTTCTTACCTTAAAACTATGCCCCCTTAATTTTAAACTCCCCCACCCTGGGATAAAGACCTTGTCTATTCACCCTATCCATGCCCCTCATGATTTTATAAACCTCGATAAGGTCACCCCTCAGCCTCCGACGCTCCAGGGAAAATAGCCCCAGCCTATTCTGCCTCTCCCTACAGCTCAACATCGTTGTAGGTAGATCTTTTCTGAAACCCCTCCAATTTAATAATATTCTTCCAATAGCAGGGCAAGTCTGATCTCCCTGCTGTAGGCAAGATGTTGTTAAACTTGCAAGGGTTCAGGACAATTTACAAGGATCTTGCTGGGGTGGGAGGGTTTGAGCTACAGGGAGAGGCTGAAAAGGCTGGGGCTATTTTCCCTGGAGCATCAGAGGGATGACTTTACAGAGATGTATCAAATTATGAGGGGCATGGCTAGGTTGAATAGACAAGGTCTTTTCTTCATGGTGGGGGTGTCCAAAACCAGAGTTTAAAGTGAGAGGGCAAAGATTTAAAAGGGACCTGAGGGGCAGCTTTTTCACACAGAGGGTGGTGCGTGTATGGAATGAGCTGCCAGAGGAAGTGGTGGAGGCTGGTACAATTACAACATTTAAAAGGCAGCTAGACAGGTATATAAATAGGAAAGGATGAGAGAGATATGGGCCAAATGCTGGCAAATGGGAGTAGATTAATGCAGGATATCTGGTCAGCATTTTTTGGGTTGGGCTGAAGGGTCTGTTTGCGTGCTGTATAACTCTGATAGGGCCTGGCAGTTGCTAAACTAGGTTTGTTTCCTCTAGCACAACCTTTTGAGCTCAGTCAGGAGAATACCAAGGAGCACATATCCGACAAAAGTGGAATGGAAATCTGGAACACATACCTCTCAAAGAAAACACAGCAACGCTGGACGGTCAATTGTACAAATCCAAACAGATTTTACTGGGCATGGGTTCCAGGAAGCTAGTGGTAATGTGGGATGAGAGAATCCAAGTGAGCCACGCCTGGCTAAATGACTGGGCTTAAGCTTGTTCCAAATGGTCTGTCCTGGCATTCATTCACCGTGCAAACCTGCTCCCAGGGCGTTCTTTATCTCATCCTTTCACAACATCCTCCCATTTGTTTCTCTGCTGTGTTTATGCAGCATTACCCTCACTTGAATACATCGAGACCAGTCAGCGCTCTCACTCCCTGAGAAAGCAACGACAAAATTATCTCGACCTCCACTTAATGATCACTCTGTGTATCCTGCTACCCACTCCCCCCCATCACTCCGTGTACCCTGCTACCCACTCCCCCCCATCACTGTGTGTACCCCGCTACCCACTCCCCCTCATCACT